CCCTCACTCTCTCTCTCTCTCTCTCTCCGTCTCACCATACATTCTCGTGCTCCCACTTATGCCGCTTTCGTGAGTGGACCAAGAGACACACCTTTGGTGTTACAGGTGGAGTGATGCACTTTGCCTTGGAGCGTATTTGCGCGTCGGTGGTTTTGCAGAGAGTGTGACTTGGTCGCACAACTGCTCATGCATTGTAAAGGGTCATGATGGGTGGAGTGAGTGTGTGAATGGGGTGCACAACTCCAATTGAGTGTACAGTTGTGCCACTGGTCCCCTTCCAAAATTTACTATATTGACCAATTTGGTTTCGTTTTTGTCCACAGTATTTGATAACAAATGTGCACTTAAGTCGAATTTCGACAATAAAATGTTGCGGAAATTGTCGTTTGTAGTGAAAAATATGTTATTTCAACACATACCTCTCGGAAGTACATGCATCACGCTTTCGCCTCTAATTAGGGCGTAAAGAAATAAAATTGTTTTTAAATACCATTTCACTTTTATATACAGCCATTGAATTATAAGTGAACATTATTTTTATGCATGTTAGTCTGGACACCTGAAATTTCATTTAACATATTTATTTATCCTTACACGTACTCTTTAGCGTACTTTTCCAGACTGCATAGAATAGGGAAACAAATTAGTCGTATCCGACGGCTTCGACTTCATAACCCTCCACCCTTTCACCAGCACAGAATCGCTTAATTGGCGTTCCTTTTATTACTATCTTTTCGCTTGAGACAAAATTATTAATTGTGGCAATTCATCGTCTCTAGTGTCCACCAAATGAAATGCAGCCACCTTGACGTGTGTCACCTGTATGACAGTTGCCAGATTAGAGAAAAATATGGTAGTACAATGCACTCTTGTCTTCTATTTTCTCCGTTTCAATGGAATCGCCTTAAATGTTATTTTAAAAATGGGAGATAACTAGAATAATGCTGCATTTTTCATTTAATGTTGATACCGAATGCAATAAATGGTGTTGCTGAAAATTTGTCATGGCTCCACCTAATGCAAAGGCACAAAATGTTTTCGTTACCTTGTATTGACACTTTTTTTCATTTACCTCCTTTTGCCTTTCTTTTATTTCGTACTTAATGCTAATGCCATGAAGGACAGTCTACCACTTGTCAACAAGCACTGAGACGTAAAGTAGTACCAAAGTACGAGTGCGTTAAATTTATCCTCACCTGGGAGTTTGGTTTAACACGCATTACGGTTTAAGGAAGCATTTGTTAGCAATCTATTTGCGAGTATTTTGCTCAACCTATGTGGCAGGTGAGGTGGGGAGAGAGGGTTGGCTTGAATGTATTCCCGTTTATAGAGCGCATTGTTAAGCAACTGCAGACGACCTCGTAACTCTCACCTCGGTTGATGATGCATCAGCGTATGCCTTGCCTCCACCGACACACCACTTCACAGCAAATATGCCAGTTTCCACTCGTCACTACTTTCAGCGCAGGTGAATGAGTGACCAGGCGACATGTTCTACATTTTTCGGGGAAATAGAGAAATTCGACTTGTGCTCTTGATGGTGCCGTAAGAAATGGGAGAAATCCTTTTGCATTATTTTAAATCGCAGCATAAAAACGCAGTCTATTTGACTGATTAGATATGGGATTCAGTAACATGAGCAGACATTAATTTGGACATGAGACTGGATAAGAGGAAACATTGTAAAAAGGTTTATCAGGTGGAGTGGTTGAATTTTGTACTTTTCCTCAATTTCCACACATTATAGCGGTGACAGTGGAATAAAATGCAGGGGCTATAAGCGCTGCAGACCTTGTTGGTGGGGCTTTCTGGACACATTCGAGATAGACGGTTTCAAGACTAGACTTAAATAAAACATAAAACGGAGTATTTTTTGCAATTTAGACTGTGTTAGAGTGAAAAGTAGCGACCTGTATTTACCATCAAGAGATGTTCCAAGTATAGCGTCTCTCATGATGGCAGTAGAGTTCCAAAGGGGGTATTCTTATCGTCGTTGAAATTGGGTAACTTTGGAAGACCTTGAGGATTGCCCAAGTAAATGCAAACGCAGTTTCTAAACACCATAGTAGTCGTGAGCATCCTGAAATGGATCCCTCTAAATCGTCCTCTCCCCTTTCACCTCTCCACTCTGCATCCACGCTCATAACGCCCTTCCTTGGTGGTTCATTTTTTCTCACCTATCATTAAATCATGTGTCTGCATCGGAGCTTGTTAAGCTGTTACCTATGTTGCTCAAATATGTATTTGAAGTAAATAAATCGTTCTTAGGGTTATAAAATCACATACCATCACCTTCCTGATTTAGTTCTCTTGTGTAAATGGGATCACACACCTTCAAGTTACTTTTTGTAAGTCGATTCTTAAGCTGAACAAAGGAAAAACTGCTTTTGTGTTCACTTCTCCCACCGTTTTTCTGCAATGGATGCAGACAATGTCGAGTGGTCTTCTGCGACAAAAGTCCTTCCTCTCCTAGCATTCAGTAGGTTAAACAAATTGTCAAAGTCACCATATTCGCAATTTTTGGGGCGTATTTATCATAACCGTTGTGGTTTTGTTAATGGAGAGGCAAAGTTCTCCTCAAAAATATTGCAAGCTACGTAATATGTGAGTGCGCTACAGCCAGAAACGCTAACGTGGAGACGAAGCCCTTGTATTTGATGTAGCATCAAGTAAGAAGTCGATCAAATGCACTGCTTCGGCTTAAAGCGCTCCTCCATGCGTCGAATCCTTGTTAAAAATTAAGTAAATCTCATTGTACTCCGTGCATTCTAAGGGATCAAATTCAATCAGATCGCCACCTAAATGAAGTTAAAAATATCTAATGATGTATATGAAGTCCTACGTAAGTGCCACGATGATGGTGGACCGCAATTAATAACCTTCAACGACAACCATCAAATCACATATATCCTTTCTTTCACTTTTATTGTCGTCTCCTCCCGATACTCAACTTATTGGGGTTCGATGGTATGACTCTACGATGATTTAGGCTGTAGCCTCTCGGTGAGTTCTGTGCCAAGACTTATGGACACAGCGCGTCGATGTCAGCATGGACCAACAACAAATTCATTGGAATAGAAAGTAATTATAAGATGGGAATTGCAAAAATCCCAGATTAACTATTTCACCTAACTGTTTGTAGCTGTGCGACCTTTAAACATTCAGTATTCCATCCCTTTAAAGAAACAGTGAGTTTTCTTCGTCATGTAACAAGTTTGCTTCTAACAATGAAAACCAAAACAATGCATGGTCGTGGGTAAGTTGAAGACCACTCTCCTTAAGTGGAATTGTCCTGGATGTGTACAAAATTCCACAGAAACACAACTTTGTACGACACTTTTTAATACAATTCTAATGCGTGGGTCGCAAAGTGCGTAAACCGTTACACGATTGCAAGTTTAATCAATGAACAACCAAAGAGCCATGATTTTCTTAAAAAATCACATTTTTAAACGTGAATGTAAATGTAGTCCCGTTTTTGGGATATTTAGTTGGCTGAAAGATGCACTCACCTCAAAGTTGCAGCGGAGCGAGATAGACATAACGTCTCTCCCTCTTGTGTCTCTCTTCTTTAATGTTCTTTTTGTAACAACCAATTACATGCGCTGTTTGGGCCTTATCCACCCCACACACGCAGCAAAACAAACTTGTAACAATTGTAACAATTGTAACTTGTAATAATTGTCCTACGCATTTTAAATCAGTAGCAATAGCAAAATTGTTTAGGCTCTAATGGCTAGCATTAGTGTGTTTAGCATCATGCTACTTGTCGGATCGACAGATGCTATTAAACGTCTTCATTGTTACCACTACATCAGTCCACCCAAGCCTTACCACAAGCAAATAAAATGTCTTATGAACAGGACTAATCTAAATTGCTTACGAGATCATAAACGTCCTCCTCGAACGATGCAGCTTATAATCATTATCCTCATCCTCAATGTGTAAGGAAATAAAAGTCATTTCGAGGGACACTCGTTTCCTTACCCTACTCCTGATACACCTAGAAGGGATAAAAGAGGTATGGCATCCCAAAGTATGGGATTAACATCATAAGCGTCATTATTACACGGCGAGAACCCAACCGTCCTTGGTATCGTTTATGTGGTGTACACACGAATTACAAACCAAACGAGAAATGAAGAATTGATAAATTCAAATGAACAGACGCACATACAAGTTACAGGATCAAAGTTATGCATCGCAGGATCCAATCTTACGCTATCCGAGCATGTACACTACAATAAGTGAAGGTCAAGGCAGTTTAAGAGGTGACCTAAATAGGGCAACTCAACTTCTTATATCCGATGGCAGATAAATGACAGTAATGGGTAGTATGTGTAAGGGACACTTTAAACGCACATTTATTGGTAGACTGGATGACTGCTGATTCCTCTTCAAGCCAAATAATGAACCAAAATTCCTGCAAACAAGACGACTTCTCCAACTCGAACTGTGGAGGAAGAGGACATTGCAGATGCCGCATAACTCTCTCCCATGAAACAAAGGTTGTTCGCGCAAGTAGTTCCAGGTGGACAGTCCTTGCAACTAGTTCCACTTTTGTACGGTTTGACGCCTATGTAATTGCCTCTAAGGTGGATACACAAGAGTTATTGCCTCACGATTTTTACGAGGCTAAAACTGTAATATGTCACTCACGCTGGTTTGTATTGGCACGCCATTAAAAATACTGGTTTTGGCCAATCCGGTTTCACATTATCACACCGTTGAACTGCGCACCCAACCTCCGCTGACGTCGCCCACACCATCTACATTTAGCAGCAAATGGAGAAATATAGCACATAAAGCTCAACTGAAGTAGTCTGTAGAGCCTCTGTGGGTAGACTACAACCATAATTCCACCTCTAAAGTGCTTAATGAGGAACTTAAAGAAGAGGCTTTTTCTTACTTGGGTGTAATGTCCACAGGCCTTGCCAGGAGCACATGTGTTTGTGTCATAGGTGTAATCCTTAACCTCCTCCCACCACTCAGTCGCCATATTCACCACATTGCGACTTAAACCTCCTGAGAGTGCAAGATTTTGCCCAAGGTCCCTATATTCCGGGTATTCTTCCTCATTTGGGTGTTCGTAGATACACTTTACTACCCAGTCATCTGCCAGCTTTTCAAGTCTCCTGCTGTACACCTTAAAACCATTAAAGTTACCCTGTGGTTGGGTTAAAATGCTTCAAGGATTGTATTCTTCTAACGCAAAAAAATGCGCATACTCACAGAATTATACCGAGTTTGGTGCTTAAGTTGTTGTGTAAATAAGCAACTCACCATTTCCAACATATTTGTCGAGGTGGGTTTCACAGAGGCTCGTTTGGTGTTGTGCAAATGAAGGAGAGCCTTGCGCTCCTGCTCCGTTAGAGACTCAGAGGCCACATGTGTTATCAAAATTAAGGCGAAGATACATTTGTTCATTGAGCCTAAAATAAATTAGACTTGAGCAATCAGTCCAATCCACATTGAAAGGAATGTAGATAGAATGAGCTAAACGACATTAACCTAAGGCAATTTTGCTAATCCACAATGTCGAATAAGTCTTTTTCATTTACTCCTTTACTCTAGTAAAATTGTGAACTCCATGTCCAAGAAACACACAAAACGAGTATTTATTACCATAAATGGAGAGCTAATGTAATAAAAGCTTGCAACCCACACTGTCAGTAGCGCCCTGACGTCTAGGAAATTTGAAAACCGTCAATAAAGTCGGCACATTTCAAATACGCAAACCTTGAACGCATCTCAGATGGAAACCTTTGACGTGACAGGAGTATAATCAACTTGGGTATTGAAATGAGCTAACATCAACAATCATTGCAAACTCTCATATTCAGAAGGATCTCGACACACCACACTTTCGACTCTGAGTTTTGAGTGGGACCAATTGTCCACACTCTTCTGGAATGCGTACACAATCAAAATACAGGGATGGTAAGGTGCCAGTGAAGGTCGCAAAATCATGACAACAGTTTGGACAAATCATAAAAGCACAGCCTGGACCTCCCCTCTTCTTTTGAGCCTTGTCACCCTCAACTCACAGTGGTCAGCATCCACTGTCCGTCATTATAATGCTGCCGATGGTGAATTGACCTCCCTAGGGATTTATGCTTGGTTTGGGGTCAAGGTTTGTCTGAGTTTTCTTGCGAAGGGAGAGTGCACCGCCTATCCTCACCCCAATGACAGCTACCATTTGTATTTCTGCTTTCGATTCGCATAAGGGAAGAGCAAGGGCGGCAGTGCGCATTTTACTTGCTTAAGCGCCGTATTTCGGCACAGCACAGTTGTAACGCAGCACTGGGTTCGAATAATGCTAAATTTGAGACCGAAGATTGTGCAAATTTTGGAGTGGAGATCAATCTCCAAAGTGTAGTATATCTGTGGTTGTCTATACGGCCGAGAAACCGTACTGCCCTGTTGAAGCACAAAGGCGGATTCTCGACTGTCCCGATCTCTTACCCAAACGATTAAACAAATGCTTGTCATACATGCAGTTAAGTAGCATTAGCAAATGTTACAGGCAGTGTGGACACAATTTCAACAAGGTAGATGCAAGAGACTTCGTGGCTGACTGAAAAGACCTCGTTGCCCTTTAAGAGGGCTTTAAACTGCAGTCTTCTATTCACTTTCTTGCCTCCACACTAGTGCCTTTTCAAAGTTAACATTAGAGATTTTTAGAAGGTATATTTTGTGGTATCACTTAATCAACTTGGTAAGTGTAGCTTTTTTTGCCTTTAACACTTCCACTTTCGACACAGCGTTCCGTCTCCCCTACCCCCTTCCAGCAATTGGTGGCGATTTTATAGGTTTAATTGAGACATGTGCGTCTGGACACTGCAAGAGGGAGACTGGAATGTCGTCGAGAAAAGGCAGAATCTGTCCTACCACATAGCCCTCAACCAGCTCCATACAGCTGGTTGTGAGGCTTACACACAGAACATTTTAATACATTTGATGTATCACTCCGTGTGCAGTAGGGAATAGAGACTGGACTTGGCAAAGAATTTTGCTAATGTGCCATCAGTCATGCCATATCACATCCGCAAACAATGACAAATGCAAAATTCTGCTCTAATGGATGCTTGATGTTGCTGCAGTTCTTTCTGCGATCCACGTGACTCCGTCAATCCGAAGTATGGTTTTTGAATTCTTTCCCAGCGTAAGCCCTTTTGTAAACAGACGAGGCCTACTAAACAACAAAATGAGTTGACTATAACGCAAAGGATGCCAAGGTAGCTTATTACCAGTGATTTTACGACAAACAAAATAAGAATAAAGAGTGCTGGTTTGACCATTTACGTTGGAATAGGTAAGGAATTAAGGTTCGACCTTGATATCCTCCTTAGAATACGTGAACTCGTCCCGATAACCTATGTACTCTGACAATCTTCTTTCTTTTTTAAAGTCTCCACGCCTTCCAACTGGGTGACCACCCAGAAAAGCTGCATATTGACAAGCATATTGATGTGAGCGGAAGGTGTGATTATTTCTAACTGCAGGACTGAAAATGGTGTTTAACTTCGGCAACTACCCCGGCTCTGTGTCCTTTGGGAGTGGTGTGGGCAATGCAATCAACACTAAACGCAAAATACCTGAAGAAGTGTCTTGAAGAGGTCACTGTGGTCTCCATGTAATGTAAGCAAACGATACTTTGATGTCTCGGAAGTGCGAAACATGTGCTAAGGAAGAATAGGTGCGTATAGTTACCTCTGCAAGATTGTAATAACCTATGGAATAGGCGTTCCTAGGGAAGTGTCTCTACTACCAACAATGAATGTACGTGATGACTGGCACCTTTTCACTGCCCTACATCACACACCTTGGATAATACAAAACAGAGACTGAGATAGAAATAGAGTAAGTTCAGTGAAACGACTAGCACCCAGGTAAGTGTATGGCCGGGCAGCAGTGATGTGAAGACAGTAGTAAGGTGGAAGAGGTTCAAATCTTCGCCTCTATGAGTCATTGTTAGACACTGACGAGTTCTTGCTTCTTCTGACAGAAAACCAAAACGAACCGAAAACCGAAATTCGGAGGAATAAATGTCAAAGTCCAGTGTGTTCTAATGAAATATCGCCTTATTTGTCACACAATTTTGCTAACTGGCGTAGCCAATTAGTGTAGATCGGAAAAGGCACTGATTGCGACGGGGTACTTGACAATGAGAACAATGCAAAGACAATACTTAAACCTTTGCTGAACATTTTATCACCATTGAGAACACTAGACTGCACGGCTGTGCAGTTGCCTCTCATTCTCTCCTTGCGTTCACAGTGAGCATTCTGCCGTGGCAATGTCTTCTCTCATCTTCGAGTAAATCTCAGATCAAATAGTCACACATGTCTGACGCACAGAGGAGTTAGCCTCTGACACGACTCAGTAAACCCGCCAAAAAAGTGCGTAAGGCTCGGCTACTTTGACCTCCCAACTAACACACACCTGACCAAGACCATTTTGTTTTTTTGAAGATGTGAAAGTACTTTGCCGCCTTGTTGCCCTCGTGTAGCACAGAAAGGAAGGCAATTTTTAACCCCAACCTACCAACCATGTCCAATTGACTTGGTCTCTTCACCAAGACGTTGGTTCTACAGACAACCGAATTTTGACAAAACAAGACCTCACCATTCACTTCTTTTCAGGAACGGTATAGGAGACGAAGTGTTTAAGATTCGCAAGACACTCCTGCTTGATTGACCGCCTCCATACCGAAATCACTTCATGAGCCCCACAAGTTCAAAATCTGTAAATGTTAGGGATTTAAGACTTTTCATCATTAGAGCAGGTGGAAGATGAACCAGCACGCTCAAGCGGAAACACCCACTAAAAAAGTAACCCCGTCAAAATGATTGTAGAGAATGCGTAAAACTCCGTTTCGACAGGTAAATCACACTGAAGGCCATTATTGCGGCAGAAGCACATATTATCACCAGGGTTCGCAACACGACTGGAAAGCATTCCTAACCCTCAAGCCATCCTTAATAGCACTAGTCCCAACAAAATTGTACTTAAAGTTGTTAAGTCAAAACACTTGACATTAGTGAGCAGGAAAACTAACCACGCCTCATATTTAGGACAAAATGGATGCTCCCCAATTACGGGTCCTGAAAGCATGTCATGCTTAACTGAGACCAAGCAAAACAGCCAACCTTAAAACCGTCAAAAGTGCAGTCAACCCTATTGCGTGAGCGACAGCAGGGTACCTGATACGAACTAAAAGCAGGAACTAAAGTTTACAAAGTGTTTGAAACAGACACCATATCTTTGCCTTTCCAATGAGCAAGTATACAAGGTGATTGCCATCGACAGTGGGAGGATGCAAAGAAACGACGTGCCACTATCCTTTGGAGTATTCCAAGTACGTTACATAATATGGATGGAACAACTGTTAGGCGAAGACAATGCACGAGAAGAGGGAAGAACTACATTACTTTGTAGGTCAATGGATCTCGTGTTGCACCTACTCATGTCCTCACCACCGGCATCTGGAATCAGTGACCAAGAGTAACTGAGGCAGCCGAAACCTTTTACCGCAAAAAGTTGAAAAAGTGCAAAGTGGCATTGATAACAAATGGGCAAGTTATGCCATTGAAAATTTTCTTTATCTAATAGCTACTGCCGGCAGCAGAAGCATCCTTCTTCTGCTTTTTCTTTTCCGTCTCCTCCTCACGCTCCCGCTCAATAGCCTTCACGTATTCCTCAATCTCCTCCGACGTAAGCATCTAATCAAAAAATCAAGATAAATAAAATAAAGTTACTGGACAATTAAATGCTCATTATGGTATAGTCACAACTTAAATACCCCCACCGTTACTTATGCTATTCTGATCATTCAAGTTCCAATCACGAAAATGTCTTAAGGATCTTAGAATGATTAATGTTGCCATAAGTATTGGGCATTGCATGCGAAGGATTATTACATTGTTGGGACCAATTTGCAGGATGTAGCTTATCCGAAAAGGAACCAACCTAAAGGACCAATTTATGATAGAACGTTCGACAACAACAGAATTCTGTGAGGGCAGTATAAATCTCACCCGTTCCAGCTATATTATGTAAACACCAATATTACCAGCACACCATTTTTGAAATCGACGACTAAATTTGGTGTCCCTCCATCGCTATGGCACCTAGTATGTGTCCACATTGATCCCAGCATTGCTCGTCCTTTCACTGCATTAAAATGTGATTTGCGAGTGCCGGGGAAACAAATGTGTCTTCTGACAATTAAATGCACTAATACCGTGCCACCGAATCCGCAAACTACCTGGTACCAAAAAATCACCAAGCGCAAATTTGCCTATGGACTGGAAATTTCTCTCAAGTGAAATAATAGACATTTTGACAAGTGGCAGCACCGAGAAAAGAAGCACAGTGTACAATAATGAACACTGCGAGCCTTCTCACCACCCGAACGTGAAATGAAATGAAATCGAGATGGCGATCCGGAAAATGAAATTGAGATAGTAAGCCCTGAACAAAAAATACCACGCCATTGGGGAATATTCTAAGATGAATAGAAATCCGATCCTATCGTGGATAAGATTTTAAGCTGACTATTATTAATTATATAGAAATGGATTTCAAAAAGGGTACAATCATGAACACGGATAGCTACACATCTTACAAACTAAATCACCTTCCATTCTGCAATGGACTCTCCGGGTTTGCAGTCGGGCCGTCGCTTCATTACTCCCAGTTCCATGTGCTTTGCACCGGTCTGTACAACTTCAAATAAAGCCTTAACGGCCAGTTTGATAGCACCTTCCTGTGTTGTGACGGCAGCTTCTGAGTAATTTTTCTCTAAGAACTCACGCGCAGCCTTTGAGTTCTTTCCGATTGCATTCGCCTACGAGCCGCAGTTACCAGTACATGAAACCTTACCAGCCACTCGAAATGGGTTCCTGAAGGATCAGTCTGGTAAAGGTGAGTTGAACCATCCTGATTTACACCGCACAAGAGCGTGGACACTCCAAACGGTCTACGGCCATTGCTTTGGGTGTACTTCTGTTTCAACTGAGCCATGTGTCGAGCAATATATTCCACAGAAACAGGATCTTCAACCGTCAAACGGTAGCTCTTGCACTCAATGCGCATCCTATCAATAAGAATCCTTGCATCAGCCGTAAGGCCTGCAAAAGCGACCGCAATATGGTCGTCAAGAAGAGAGATTTTGTGAACGGTCCTATCGTTTTGGAGCTTAGTTGTAGCTTTCTTCTCTACACAAAGCACTACACAATCTGCACCTTTTACACCAACCTAAAAAATCGTCTTTAGTCCATAAGACCTACAGCAGTTGATCCCTTTTTGACAGCCTCCTGAGCATATTCGACTTGGAATAAATGTCCATCTGGAGAAAACACCGTAATCGCCCTATCATATCTCGCGGTCATGACTAATGCACCAGGCACTCAAGAAACGCGCGCGTGCTAAAGGGAATTCCAAGAATTTGTTCATGAGATTATATTTGGATGTCAACCCCAAGCAGAAAAGGATCAAAAGCTGGCATGCACAAATGTGAAATCTTGTAGCTCATCTAAATGAAACCAAGTCGAAATAATAGTCGAAACATCGCAGTCGAAGTTACGGCTACAAAAACCAAGCAAGCCTGAGCAAAACCATCTTGATTTCGCTTCCGAATTTCTGAAGTAATGTGTTAGTTTTAGGTTGTACTTGTAAATATGATTCATTCCGTTTAAGAACACTTGCTAGCTGTTTTGAATGCATTTGCAATGATCATTGTAATATCTTAGGCTTCCGACTAGATAAAATGAAGCGTTAAGTTAAGCTAAATACATCCATTCTAAGCAAAGTAGAAGGGATTCGGCCAAAGCAATCGCTTGGACAGCGGCAACAGTAATAAGTTGTCACTGAAAAGTTGCACATTCTGGTACACTTTTTTAGCAAATCCAAGCTTGAAAAGAGCAAGGATGTAAAATAATTCACAAGTGTTTACAATATGCAATGCCATGGACTTGGGTGTAGCGTCCCAAGGCTTTCCATGGGCTGGATACATGCATTCCAAATCGAACATATTAAAAGGACCTGCGCATAGCCCGAAGGCTAGCTCACAAGTACAAGAGCCAGAGAAATCTTAAGGTGACCTCCATACGCCACATAAACAAAGCATTATACTGCTCCTCTCTTCTCTTGAGCGATGTTCTCGGGCGATCCCCTTGGTAGCCTCCCGGGACAGCCGTCACGACATATTCGGTACTATTTGAGAGCGCCCACGAGCCAACCGCCACAGTCGACAGATACCACGAAAGTGAGGAATCGTGCTTGATCTCCTCGGTAGATTCAACTAAATTTGGAATTATGTTCGGTCTGACAATCAGATTCGGGTCCACATACGCCTGTTAACCATCAGTTGCTCCCAGGACTAGACGGTGGAACTCGGGTCCAAAACAGATATGTTACAGGGAAAACGTAATGAGCCACTGTCCTGTATGTAATGAGAACCGTAGTGTCATATCCGACACCTAAACACGGATTTTGTATGGGAAATTCCGACACGAAACTTTTCCCGATAGTTCACGGCGGTGTTGCCTCAGTTGTTAATAGCTTGTCTGTGGAACACGAGAATAAGGTGAAGTCAAGTGCGCACCGTAGATACATGCGACAAATGGTACGTGCTAGTATAGAAGTTGTTGAAAAAATGCCGGGTTGGATTTCCCCCCCCCCCAATTAGTGTAGCGCCCAATGACTTCCCATAGGGTGGAGGAAGGGTGTAAGTTGAGTCGGACATGTGCATTCTAAAGAGGACAAAGCAAATGGGTCTGAGCGTAGTCCGAAGGCCAGTCCAAGAGTACAAGGACCAGAGATATCGTAGAGTGACCGCCGAACGTCAGAACCTAGCAACTGAGAACAATCGGTTCACAATGTTGGGAAAACTGTGCCTAGATAGGAAGCAGAAAATTGTAACGTCATTAAAATTTACTGAACGAGCTCCGAATTCGGGTGGCCAACCCTTGCTGTGGAGCCGGACAAATAAATAATTTGAAAGACATAATAAATTAAGCAGAATTAAACATGAAGTTTGGCGATAACTGTTAAACAAGAAACAAATTTTTACGACGCGCCCAAATTTTTAAGTCCCTTTTCTTTAGTAGTGTAGAAAGCAAATTAAATGTGTGCGCAGATTTTAAAAAGCTTATAATATTTTGTTCATGTGATTACGTGCATGTTGAGAAGACCAAGGCAATGCCCAGTCCCCTCTCCTCCTCCTAACAAGCATGCATTTAGCCCAACTTAATGAATTCTTCTACCTAGTGAGAAGTCTTAGGGTGCTACATTGTAGGGCAGGTAAGTGGACTCCCTAGCAATCCTAGAGCAGAGCAAATAAAAGTCATGACTGAGGATTAATGTAAAAAAAGCGAGCTTCAGCTAAAGTGTCCTAATTGTAGAATGCGTAAAGCAGAAATCGAGAAAACCTGAGAAGAAAATTTATGCTACGTGGCGAAGTAGTGTACATGTAAACAATAACGTGACCCTAAGCCATGGAACACTGAGGTGATTTCACCTGGAAGGGCACGACAAATGAGGCTTCAAAACTGAGTCTCTAATGTTTGTTTATGTGACTGGCTGAGGTTCGGCAGTCAATTTGGGATTTGACTGGCCCTTGTGCACATGAGCCGGTCTTCGGGCCATACTCAGGCCCATTTGCCCTGTCGTCTTCGGAATACATGCATCCGGCTGCACTCACTGACTTCTTATACCGGCTAGGAAGTCTCGGGACGCTACAGAGTCCACTTATAGGCACTCATAATGCGACCTGCTATAGCGTCCCGAGACTTCCCGTAGGGTGGAAAAAGGCAGTAAGTGGGGCTGGATATATGTGTTCCGAAGAGAACAGAGCAAATGAACCTGAGCATGGTCTGAAGGTCAGCCCACGAGTACAAGGGCAGGACAAATCCGAAAGTGACCGCTGAACGTCAGGTAGTCACATAAACAAAGCATTAAGTCAGCAACTGTCATATTCGATTTGTTTGACTGCTTCCATATTCTGGAATAGCTTTTGCCAGGTGGAGTTGCGGTTGTGGAATGCCAAAAGCCACATCTCTATCGATGTTCAGCCAAGTGCCATTCCATCTATCATGAAATACAAAGTCTCAGAACGTCACAATTTGAGTGCTCTATGCAGTTAAATTTCATCTAGAATTATTAAAGAGGCTACTTTGCTATTTAAAACCTTTTACCAGCCTTCGCACCAATTCACAAATCTAAGTCCTAATTAGCTTATTTCAAAAAAAAACAAGGATACAGATGACAAGATGCAACTGCAGACCTAAGTTGATGTAACTCAAGTTAAACAATTGGACTTCTGCTTCTTTTACACGGTCAACACCTTTCCTGTCAAGACTTCAAATATCTATTTACTTTTACGATCGTAGGGCTAAAATATTCCGTCACCTTATCCGCAACCACATTTGGCATTCTCCCTAAATGCTACTGGTTAATGGTTGGGGATTCCCTGTTACGACTTTAAAGCGGTGTTCGCGTGAATGTCTATTTTAAAGAAGATATTCTCGAGGGATTCTCTTTCAAACGAGAGCTTGTCAACGAATGGAGAGTTTTGCTTTCTGAAACCGGAACTTCGAGATAAACTGTCGTGTGGTGTCAAGTACAATCGTTAGTTTAACTTTGCGTATGTAATTGCTACCGCATACTTGATATTTTTTTAAAGTCGTTGTAGGTTTTTACCCATTTTCTAGTATTCTGTGGAATTCATCTTCCGTTTTAGTGAAATTAGTCATTCGAGGGGAACGAAAATCAGGAAAAAGTACACTTCTTTCTCGTCTTAAAGGGGAAGCGTTCGATTCAAGTTACTCACCAAGCGATGAGATTAAGGCAAGTGTTTCGGCTATTTAATCGGTTTGAGTTTCTACTTAACCCTTTTGAGGCCCCATGATTAGTGAATTCGATCCTAGAGTTCCTCTGTCCTACTCTTAGGTTGCAAACATTTTATGGATTTACCAGCCTACAAATGATGCAGTGAAAGTGGATGTGTGGGATGTTGTGGACAAGGGTCGTCAAAGGGAGGTTAAACACGGGGCCACGACCTCAGGATATATCTCGAAATTGACGAAAAAATCTCAGGTATTTTGCACGTCACTATTGTCCAATGGAGATGTCCTTTTCGTGAGCTTAGATGTGCAATTTTCGATGAATTAGGTTCGCGACAGTTTGCTCTCTTGTTTCCCAACTGAGAGGCATTAGCTTGGTTCCTGAGTAACTATTGTATTTTTTGTGTCATCTTTTAATTTTGCTGCTCTTTCGAAATCGTCATTCCTTCCCTCTGTCTTGTGATATCAGCTGGATCAGTGGTTTTGTTTTCAATTTTAAGACGGCAACGACTATGGCTTCTCTGGATTCAACATTTATTGATGTCTACAAAGGCGTGAACTGTGTGATTATGCTGTTTGATATGACAAGCAGGTGGTAGGTGATTGTCTAATCCATTTTAATCTGCTAGCCCAACATCTCGCTTTTATATTTGTATGCTTGCATTGTAAGTTCTGCTGGGAGTATCATCATAAACCATTTCATTTCATCTCCTGTGGCTTCTTTATTTGCCGTAGTTTATGTTCACCCAATGTATATTTTGCAAAATGATGCTTCGGGTTTTCATTTCATGTACGTGTCATAGCGGTGGAGGTAGCAACATTTATAAGTAGGTTTTTTTGTTGCATTTGTGGTAGGATTTGTTCACGTTTATCATTGTTTTTTTCTGCCTTAAATTAGCGTCGTTGGTACTTATATGCAACTTTCAATGCGTTAAGTCGATGTTTTGTTGCCTAGTTTCTGTCTTTAAGGGTTCGCTATTCGTTGTTGCTTTTTTGCCGTGCTCTTGGTATTGCGTACAAAATGACTGTGTTTGCATTTTGCTTGTGAACGTTATTTTGGGGCGACCTCAAGGGAAGCTCTGATTTTTGCAAAGTAAGTGTTTTCCCTAGTTTAGGTGTGTGTTGAAGATTCGTGAAAGGAAAACTACTAGGTTTCCATCTTGATATTTCGTGTCGATCGCTCAAGCTTATTCCACTTTTTATTTACTCAATGTTATTCAGCGGTGTCATTTTGGGTGATTTTTCTTTAACACTGCCATAAAGCTGGTTATTTCTTCATGATTCACATAATCTACTCTTTTGAGTTTGCCTTGCTACGGCCCATCTGTGCTGTTTTGGCGTCGAATTAGTGTTCACTTTATTTTAAGTGCCTTACATTTTACAACGCTATAAATCATTCAATTTGTAAATCTGTCTGTCTGGAATAATACCCCTTTATAGGTATCCGCTCTTTATAAGCTTCAAAGCTGCATCTTTGTGCCCTACCTATGTCGGATTCGCCTATCTTTGCATCTTAATCTCTCCTTAAGCTTGTATTCAAGGGAAGCCAAGGATTGTCACTGAAGACGCATGTTTGTGTCGGTTTATTTGTGTAGAGCTAAACATTGTTAAATCCACAAACACTTGAACATCGCTTTGTGTACCCTCAATGCCATGCTCTTATCATTTGTTCGCCTAACTCATTCCATGCCTCTTTATGTTGCTGTTTCGGAGCACTGCTTTCACTGTGTTCCCGATCAGTCAAGTTTTCACAAGTTCCACCTTTTCATCCACCTAAATTCGTAGCTAAGTTCTAGTAAATTAATTTCCCTCTTTTCGGGAAGGACCTTCGATTACGTGTGTCGGGAACTCCCGAAGGTGCCGCATTCAGTACCAGTTTTAGTTGTCGGAAACTTTCGTGACGCTGTTGCTGCTGATGGAACAAACCGAGAAATCACAGAGACTGAGGTCCGTACTTTCATCAGACGGATGTTGAAGGTACGGCAGTCATCGTCTTCTGACAACGATGCATCAGAGTTTTGCAAGCAGTAAGTTTTGGCTTAATGCCCCTCTTTAATGGCATTTTGCGGAACCCCATGTCTTTCCTCTCTTTATTAGGAAGCGAAAGTGTTGGCATGCTGTCCGAGTCGTAATTTTAGGAAATCGCTCCAAATCGCTGTTCTTTCTGATTATTAAGCTAAGGATTTTTTGGCTTGGCGGCAGCTCTTAAGGGCATAAATTTGTACAGAAGTTTTATGTAAATATGAATGACTTATTTTGACTTATTACTAAATCAGAAAGCCTTCTCACTTTGATAGACGATTATCGAATTGTTCACATCCCTGTTCCACTTAATGACACCTATGCTAGGACGCTTTGGCCTCATTGACTGTTTACCTCCCTTCAAGGTGTGCACCAATACGGTATTGCGAGACCTCTATGAAAAATGGATTTGGGCTGATGTACATACACCGTTTTCTCAACATTCCATTCCTCCATCTGCAATACACTTACCTTCTTCAGGCACTAGCTGCCAACCGTCAGGCCTTTTCGGACATCAGTCAACAACTGGACATGGCCGAGGAGAATCGGGAGTCGATTTGCTCCTACGAGAAGTACATCTATTCTTGAAGCATTTCTCTCTACCTTACGTGCTCTTTATGATTGCATGCTGTCCTTTGTGCTCAATAGCTATCCGAAATAGTTGGAAATAATGTAAGGCCTGTATCTTTCCGTTTATTCGTCCGAAGAGATGCTCCGTTGAGAATTGCTGTTGGTCTCTTTCTAACCAGCAAAGTACGTCCACTTTGAAAATTGACATTTCCACGCTCTTAATTGGCAGACGTTCGTTATCTTTTGCACTTAAATTTGAAATGCACCTTTGGGAAAGCTGTAACCAGAGCTTCACATAGGTTTACGCGCTGGTTGGCAAGTGCTAGAGGCCCAACTATGTCTTCAACTCCTGCAGGTGAGCCTTGTAATTGCGAAATTTTCAACAACAACGGCTCTCTAATTTGTGTTCTCATCCCTTTCCAGCTGGAGATGGAATGGGAAGAAGGGCACTACAAACTGGCTCACTTACAGTGGCTACTGATCGAGCTTTTGGTACTCTCGAAACGCAGACTTCCTCAGTCAGTAAGGTTACAGCTGCTCTTATTTTGTATCTCTTGTTTCAGGCAACTAAAGGAGCTCACGGCGGGTTAATCATAAATCAAATCCGCATTCATTTTGTAAAGCACGGTGTGTGCCATGTAATTACGACCTTCTCCTTTGAGAAATTAAATGGATATTAACCCAAATGCGCGTCTACACAACAGATCTTCGTATCTAACATAATCTACGCAAGTGGTTTTTATGCTTTCCACCGTCACTCATGGATAGCAGTGTAAAATATTGCGAAGTAGATATTTGATTCGTATAATGACCGCTACTTTTCCCTTTGGCATGAGTGAATTTACCCCTTGCTTTACACCCTTATGCATTTATGTGGAATTCAGTGCAATTGCTCATGCATCACCTGACAATCAGAGCAAAAAAAGTTGCGTATTATAAACAAAGATTCTACGTAAGAATCACTGCATCACGCACCCATGGACAGCTTTATCTGTGCCTATTCTCACATGAACTAAACTAGTGGTGTCTTTAAGAAGTATCATAAGTACGGCTAGTTGACGAATTTTGATCATAATCAGCCAAATTAACTTCGGCAGAGCACTCGGATTGCGCCTAAGTACCCTTTGTAAATTGGGTCCACCAATAGTTGTTCACAAGTTAATTGTGTGGGTCACGATTGCCACTACATTAAACGTCCAAATACTGATTATTATTCAGTTAAGTGATGGACATTTCCAAATTGTGCTCCTACAGAGCCGAAAAGGGAGATGATCAACGAACCTCCCTTACCGACAAGCGGTGCTGAAGAATCGGCATTTCGCGAGTTCATTCAGAAAGTTGACAGTCCTTCTGCACCCCTGTCTTCGCCTGCCAACGGCTTTGACGTGAATACAGAGTTAGTTGAATCGTAAGTGCTTCTTGCTTCTTTCATCATATCAGCCTTTTTTTCTTATTGACATTAATGCTGCTCCTTTTATTTGGCAATTAGTTCAACTTTTTTGTTTTTACTGTGGGGTCAACTTACATTGAAACAGCTATGTTTTTTTTATTTAGTAATGGTTTTCCATCCTTATTGGGACAGAATCTTAGAAGAATTGAAGAGGAACTCAGTGCCCTGTTTTTTTAAAGAGAAATCCAAAGTTAATGCTAAAAATAATCTTTCACGCGCATGCGGTGGATACTTGACCGTCTTCAAATCATAATTCATTGCAGACCTTCCAATTCAGCTCCCCTGGTTGCAGCATTTCAGGAGGACATTGACCCCGATGATGCGGCGGTTGGCAACGTGGCTGGACGTTTAAACGGTTTGGGTGGAAGCCTTCGTCCGCTTGGCGATTCCGTAGACGATGATCCAGTGGACGAAGATGATGACGACCTAATGAATGAAGATGATGATGACGACGAGGAACAGCTGGGACCCGCTTTGGGTCTGGCTCCATTCAGTAATGAGGGTGTGGAAGATGGACGAGCTTCGGTGGGGGTTTATCTGATATTTAGAGCGCTTAAAACTTTTGCTTCTTCGTTGACTAGTGGTCGCAAAATGTCATTATTGCAGTCTCGCCGTATCAATTGTCAACCTTTATAAATACGTTGAGTACGACAAAGTTCCACTATCAACGTATGCAAAAGTAAAGTCATCTGTGATAGAGCCATTGGCACTTGCCACTTTGGAAAATCGTTTTTCATGCATTGGCACAAATTTAGGTGGATTTTTCCGAAAATAAACGCACCCAAAATTGTCCAAATTATTACCGTCGCCACTGTCAAGACAGTTCATTCATATCAGTTTGGTACTTGTCCTGAGACGGGTTGATTTCGTAAAACTATGGTGGGTAACTAATGCTTTGGTTTTTGGTGCGCTTAGACGAAGGCACGCAATGGGCTACAACTGAATCCGATGGTGATTCCCCAAATTCCGTCTTCTAGTTCTTCCTCTCCTTCCACTTCAACACCCAGCTCTCTGCATCTACCTACTACCGTTCCGTTGGTGTCGTGCGCCTCCTCACATGATCCCTCTGTTGACTTTGTCACTTTAGAGGAAAGGAACGCCTTTGAACGCTTCCTCGATGACATCTAAATGTTGCTTCTCCACTTCTAGTTGTTGTTACAGTGCTCCTTTCTTTGCTTTCTATTACTTTTTTTTTATCTCACCGTATCGTAGCATAATTTTGTGGAGAATTATTTTGAAGTTTATGTGGATCTTTTTAAAAGTTTTGCCTGAATGCTTGGGGATGTAGTTGAAGTTCATGATGCTAAGGATAGCCTGCTCATGCCTCTTTGACTCCTTCCTCGTTCTAAAATCTCGTTTGTGAGATGTGAGACTAGAAGTGTCTGTTGAAATAACTCCTGGGAGGAACCCATTTGTTGCTTTGATCTGTTCATGAGATACTAGAGGGCACTGATCTCATATTTACATGGAGGGCCTGTTAATGGTTATGAAATTTAATTTTAAGACGAAATGTGACTTATTCCGGTAGGGATTGGACTACACATAATCGGACAACGCAACAATAAAGGCCTGGAATTGCTAGTCTTCAATGCGTTCTGACTCTCATCACATAGATGCTTTGATTGTCTACTGCAATTTTGACCGGTACTTACCTTTTATTTTTGCCTGAGTTGAGAGGATCACTGATGGCAGTGCATCGGTGTGGTGGAAGGAGGGAGTGGAAACAGAACCCACCTTACAATTGCTCTTTCTTAACTTGTACCAATTTAGAAAAGGAGCTTTTTCACAACCATAGTTCACCGTCGATGAAATGCGTGCGTTCAACATACTTTCAAGCACCAATCACTTGGTGTCAAACAATGCAAGGTCGATCGGCAGTCCGTTCATTTCTATGCGTCAACAACAGCCTCTGTTTTAGTGTTTCCGTGGCTCATCATGCACGCGCTAGTTAGCATTCTCTGCACCACTATTTTTGCTGCTACATATTGCCTTGCGTCCATTCCGGGGTTGGAGGACTGCTCCACACGTAAGTTCCACCCTCATTCTACTTGGTGGAGAGAGAGAGAGAGAGAAGGAGCCTTACTAATTTCTTCATGCAGCCTCTAGCCTAGGGAAGTTCATCGATGGAGAGATCACTCCATGTGGCGCAAATCCGTGCGTCTTGGTGAAGGGACGGAATACCTCAATTAGTCTCAAGTTTATGACCAGTACGTTTAATCCTCCCCGTTTGATGCTGTTATGCAATGAGGAGAGTCTTCAAAGCTACTTGGCCATTAAAATGCCCGCTTGGTTTTTCATTAGATTTCGTGCCTTCATGCTGCAGTCGGTGTTTGAAAGTGACAATGACTTATTACCTGCATTAGGACGAATTTAAGGAGTGAGCATTGGGAACGTTCAATTACCACTGGAAACTAGATTTTACAGCTCTTAATGTCAAATTTAGACTTTTTCTAACACGTAATGTAAGTAAGCCAATTTTAACCTCTGTCAAATGCGATGACAATTTGAATGAGGGGGCTGAATATTCCATCCTTTCTTTCTTCAAACTGGTCGCCTTTCATCATTCTTTTTACTAACTCTCCAGAGAATCTCCCTGTAAACTTTCCACTCATATACGAGTGATGTGATCCGATCCATTGGCCTTGGGAGTTGCTTTGTGTATCAAAAGTATCAACTCTTAATAATCTACATGTGTGCAAATCTTTCCTCGTTTATGTTTAGAAATATGCGTTTTCACTCATACACCGTGCATGCGACAACAGAAATGCTCCGTGACAAGCCTATTGAGATAGAAAGACCATTTAAATGCACTACTTTGGTGCAAAACCAGAACACGCTTTTCACTTTCTTTGTAGCCGACTTGGTGAAGGGAGGTAGGATAGTGGTGCATGGAATAATAGCCGGTGTTCCAATACCATTCGGTCTGCCTGACAACAATCTTTGCCACTTCATCCAACCCGGTTGTAGCATTCAACCAAATTCAGCCGAGCAAATGGATTACAGCCTCTACGTGAAGGAGTCCTATCCCTCCGTGAGTTAGCGCATTTTTTGAGCCCCACTTCGAAGTCACGTGATTTCGAGGTCACCTAATCACCACGCTCTGATCACCAGAACGCGATGAATAGTTTATGGTTCACGTTTACGTTTATGGATGTTTACAAGCGCGATTAACCCCTCTTAACATTTAAAGGTGAACTTATGGTGGAATAATGACGCTACACGCTATTAAGGATCACACCCTGCAGTAGTCCGGATGGGTGACATTTACACTTGCCTAAATTTTTGTAGATTCAATTGACCATAAAGTGGGAGTTGGTGAACGAGGTGGGTGTCGACCTGATTTGCATCAAGTTTCCGGCTAAACTATCGTCTACACCTCCACCTGAGCCAACAACACCACGACCACCGATCAGGACATTATTTGGACAGCTGCGCCATATTTTGGGGAAATTTCTGCGTTTCGGAAGTCAAGACTAAACACACCTCAAATGTGTGACTGTGTAGTCCAGTGCTTGATTTTGATTCCTGGTTTGCTACAGTTAATAAGAGTTCCATCAAGTGGCCAATTTATCCTATCTGCCATTATTTAGTGTGCCTTAAAAAATGCGCAAAATTTGCTTACGCTATGAATGTAAGTAAATTAGGCCACACAGTTTGGAGTACATTCCTGCACACCAGATCGGCTTTATGTTTTCGTTGTTAGCTGTCGCTCTGATCAAATGCAAAGGATTTTGCTAAGGCTGGGAGAATACACTGAGTCCTTAGAAAATTTGAAAGGAGTGTAAATTCTACCAGTAGACAATGTTTAAGGTGCATGAAGGGACTACTCTGGGCTTTAGGTCCTTCCTCTAGGCCTCCCTTGAAGGAGGTATTCCCTGAGAGGATTTATTACTCATAATGAGATTTACAGTGTTAGATGGGAAAGGCAGTAAAAGTTAGAAATAGTTCATTGGTCCGTTATATTTGGTATCTCAATATTCGTTACATGATGACTCACTAAGTGCTTCCTCCTCCCCTCCCACACACTCAGCATGACCCTCCCCTTCTGTCAATTTCTCCATTTTCATACATCTTGTTAAGATGACTTAGCTTATCAAAATTTATGGGGACTGGAGGATCAAGCCGCACCATCCGAACTGATTAAGCTTCAACAAATAAAAGGAATTTCGGTAGAATGTGTATGAATCGCTGAATCTGCATAAGTCGTCATCCCAAGGGGGCTTGTAGTTCTAAGTTAGCAATCAGAAGAGTACCATGGAGCAATATATTAATTATTGTAAATCCGCGAAATTGGTGCGAACTATATGCTGTTTATGTAGCGTCCTGAGGCTTCGCACAGGGTGGAAGAAGGCATAAGTGAGGATGAATACATGTATTCTGAAGAAGACAGGGCAAATGGGGCCTGAGCGTGGCCCAAATTCCAGCCAATATGTACAGAAACTAGAAGAATTCCAAAGTGAATGCCAAACGTCAAGTAGTCACATAAACAAAGCATTACAGTTTAAGCTACTAATATGTATGCTGCCACAACGTGCTCGAAACTGGGCCGAACAGGAAGTAACTAGTTAATACAACCCATTGCTGGGTAATTTTACTTGTGCGAAGGTTGATGCAAATGCGGGTCAGTGCTGTAATGCCTTGCTTATGTGACCACATGACGTTTGGTGGTCACTTTAGGAGTTGTCTGACCTTGTACGTGAGGTTGGCCTTCGGTCCATGCTCAGGCCAATTTGTTCTATCCTCTTTGGAATACACGTGTTCGACTCAACTTTCTGCTTTCTTCCACCTCGTAAAAGTCTCGAGACGCAACGAAGGCAAACATCAGATAGCAACAGAAATAAACGTCTAATGATGACGATGGGTGGGGTCTCGGGTGCAGGGGATTTGAAGTAACGAGCGCTAAACATAGTGTTGAGGTAAAGTTACGGTGTGGTAAACCAGTAATGCAGCTAAAAAACGACAAAAGGCAAATATAAGTTCTTTACGATTGACCACTTTGTGTAACATGACACCAAAACCCATGGAGTAATGGAGGTAACAATTAATTTGAGCTACGAAATCCAAATGCAACATTATATGGGACCTGTAATTACAAGGGTTTGTTAAAAATTGAAGTTTAGCTGTTTAACACAAAAGTGAGATCTTTTAAAACAAATTTTTACCTTTTATGTTGTTTAAATGTACCAAATGTTCATATTCTGGTTCCGTAGTCAAAAACAGTTCCGCATTGAGCCTTTTACTGTCACGTCGATGAGCAACACGTATCAGTTTAATGACAACAGGTATGATATAGTGTTTTGTGTGTCTATGTTTGCTTCCCATATAGAAATGGTTATTCCCAACCGCCAGAACAGCAAGTAAGCGCATACTAGACTTTCATTTGCTTTTAAACGCTCTTTACATAATTGCGCAATATTTTTCGCTTTTTAGCAATACATGCCGCCGATGAGCACAATGCGTAGGTTTGGTACTGTTATTGTTTAAGTTTCTAGCCTTAATGTACTTCCCTACGGCAATGCCGTACATGCCCACTCCGACTATATACCAACAGCAAATGTACCCTCAATCCACTGCCCAGTTGCCGCCGCTCGCACACCCTCAAGGTCAGATACAAACCTTTAATCAGGGCATAGTTGCCGCTGCTGTGCCTCAGCAGCAGCTTATGTCCACGCCTCCTATCAGTCATAACCCACCTCCACCCGGTAAAATACTGGAAATTGTTGACCCGAACTCGGGTCAAAAGCTTGATTTCGAGCAGTTCAAACCTGGTAAAAAGCAACACCTTGAAGCGTCTTCATTCTCTGTTCCTCATGGACCTTCAGTTCCTGTCAAAATCAGGACCCCGCCTCCAAAGGATCCAAAAATTCCTCCTGATCCCAAACCAAACGCCCCTATGGATGTAATTCCTCCACCAGTAGTTGATGTGGTTACGGACAACAAAGCTGATTTCTCTTTAAACTCTGAGGAAGAGACAACCTCAAATCAGGATTCTCAGGAAACCGAGGATTCTAAGCAAGAAGCTTCGCAGGAAAGTGATGATTCTAACGCAGATACCTCACCAAACGATGTTGACATCGATACACAGGAATCATCACAAGATAGCAATGATCAGGAGACATCGGATGCTGAGGATAAACTTGCTGATGCACCACCCTCGCCTGTTAAAAAAATTGAGAGAGTTGAGTCGGATTCTTCTGGCATTGTTCAAAAGTATAATAGGGAACAACTTATTTCCATTAGAAGTGCAACAGACTTTTCGACTTTACCTGCGATGCCGACGGCAGTGTTGGCCGCTGTTGGTGTTAGCTCTCAACGGTGCAGAGGTCGCGGGGGTGTTTTCAGGCCTCAAAGTAGACGTGTTTTGACGTTTAACACAGAGGCAGTCGTTCTTGATGAAGTTGAAAACGCTTATAAGCCCTCCGCTCTAAAAAAGGCTGAAGACATTCCTTCGGATCGCCTGTCGCAGCTATCTCGAGATCTAAGCATAATCCTCAATCGACTCATCAAAGAGAATGTTTCAGGAGTGGCAGATGATATCAAGAGGTTTGGCGTTAAGGGTGAGGATGAAGTCAACTGTTTAGTTAATGCCATAACAAATAAGGTAAGTGTGGTTTGTTGCTTTTGACTTTTAGGCTGCTCGACAAGCAATTTATAGTAAACCGTTTGCAGAACTGTGTAGGGCTCTTGTTGATGTGAGTTGTTTGGTTATTTTATGAATGTTGTTCTTAGGCCGAGATAGATGGCTTCCGGGAGAGATTAATAAAGGCCTCTGCTGAATTATTTTCTACTCCATTAGAAGTTCACATTGATAATGTGAAAGCACGTATCGATGAGAAGATACGGGAAACAAATGATGAGAAAGTTAAGAAGATGCTAGAAGAGGACCGCGAGACTGTCATCACAAAGAAGCGCGAAGCGTTTTTTGGAATCCTGCGATTTTTTAGCTTTCTTTACCTACAGGACGTTATATCATCCAAGATGTTCACCGATGCGTTGAAACCTTTTGCGAAGCCCAAATCCCAGGATGACGTTTTAGCACTCCTAACCTGCCTTAACATTTGTGGCGAAACGCTAGACAAGAAGGGGGTTGGCTTAGTCAAGAACTGTATTACTGGTTTGGAAAATGCAAAGAAATCTCTGAAACTGGAACAGCATGTCCAATACAAAATTATCGCTCTTGTTGAATTACGTCAGCGAAATTGGAAAAGCTCTGAATCTGCTCCTCCTCTCCCACAAACTGCTACATTACCTCGTTCGAATTCAAGCAGGGATAGCTTGGCACGCCGTGTGCAGGCTCATAATGTCCCGCGCAAGGCCTCTTCTACGATTAAACCAACTACTGGCAAAATGGGTGACTCGAAAACTCCTATTGATACCAAAAATCTTGCGGTCTCCAGTTTGGGTAGCAGGTCAAACTACCTCGGGCCTCAATTTGATTGGAGTCAAGGTAGCAAGGCACAACCAAGGTATCGTATCTTACCACTCATCTTTTTGTTTAGGCAGCCGAAATCAGGCACGGCTAGTGAATCTGATAATGGGAGGGAGTCTAGGGCGTCTAGTGTGTCTACAATCAAACGAGAGACCAATCAGACCTCTCAGTTTAAGGTTGATGAGGCCTTGACGGCCAAGGAAGCTGTACGAGATGCGATTGATGCTTTCATGACTGCGGACATTTCAAAGGTTTGTTTTATCGTAGTTTTGAAAAGCTGTACATAGTTTGATTTACTCCTGCGGGAATCTGAGAAGAAGGAGTTTGTCAAGCAAATCCTATGCAAGGCATTGGAAGGGAAGGCTGATGAACGGCGAATGATTGTAAATATTCTTTTTCATTTGTACTCTAAACGTCAATTGAGTGACGAGCAGTTGGAGTGCGGGTGAGTCGCGGGTCGAGACTTACTTCTTCTTCATGTGATTTGGCTTCATAGTACTGCAGGCCTTGAGTTTACAATTTCAAACACTGCTTAAGGCTTTAGTCTCATATGCTCACTTTACCTTAGATTTCTTGATGATGGCTATCTATTCATGCGTAAAATTCAATTTTTAGATTTACCCAGTCGCTAGATTTGTGTGAGGAGCTTGATTGTCCAAAGATAGGAGTTTTTTTCGGGGAACTAGTCAGTTCTATGGTGAGGCCCTCATCAGTTGACTTCACAAGGATCGTAAAATTAATCAATATGCTGCCAGGAGAGAAAGACAAACAGGAGGCCTTTGCACAATGCATAAAGTTTGCTGCGGATCGCACTGGCGAGCGTGAAGTTGCAATCAGTGCCAACAAGGTCTTATCTGCAGGATTACCTTGGGGCAATGAGAAAGCATTTAATGATTCAAACTTTTTGAAACTCTACCAAATTGAGTTCATCACGACAGCACAACCTTCGGGTTCGGCTTCTGCGTCTACGAATCCAGTGAAACAGTGGCGCGGAACAATGCCTCATGCTCCATCTACGGTCGACACTTCTGCAACTGACCTTTTCGACAATTGTCTTCAGCATATGAATTTGAAGGAACTGGTGTCCATTTGCTCACAGAATTCCAAGTCAAAAGATTCGGAACAATACTTGCGAAAGATTTTTAATCACGGTCAAGGTGTGTCTCCGTTATTGCAGTCGTTTTCGTTTTTGTTGCACGTAGGCTGTGTTTGAATGTTCACTTTTCGAATCCCAGGTTTGCAAAGAAAAGAAATTGATGCCTTGGGGCCAGTTGTGAAGATTTTAATTCAGTCGACTCCGGATGAACGGTCAATAATATTTACTCTACAAAAATCCGTTGGTAAGTTCTTTTTGTACTTATTAATCATTGCCCCAACTAAGCTGCTCATTGTTGAGTCCAATGGTGGCAGTCAGGGTAGCGTGCATAGGCGACAGAATACATTTATTTTTAGTACAGCAGTTCCGTTTTCATTCGTATTTCTAGGACCTTAATCTATTGGTCTAGCTCCTAAACATTCCTCTTCTTTACAGAAAAGGAAAATTTTAAGCCGTGGCTTCAATCCCTTTTGCAACAGAAGCTCTTATCTCCACAGTCTCTTCAAGCCTACGCTCAGGATAAACGTTCACTATCTCAATTCAAGGATGTGGCTGTTCAGCTCTTGCGCAAATGTCGGTCGTAAGAAGAACACTTTCAATCATCACTTTTCTTCCTCATTGCATATTTTCTCTTCAGCTCCTCACATTTATTCCCAAACCCTTGCGTGTATGGCTATATTTATATGCTACTAAGTGGTGTGGAGCGCGCAACAACCGTCTACAAAATCCCTCTCCCCTTGCAACATCGTTAATCCTCCGAAGAGGAACTTGTATAGATCCAGATTTGTTGATTGATACCTTCTTCTGGATGTGTAGAAAATTTTGGTGCTTTGTATACAGTTGTCAATGTTTGGAATTGTGTGGGAATGAACTGAATGGGGTGAGTTTGTCCAGTGCAAATCGTTTCCGATCCCTTCCCCTTGGGGTTTTGTTGGACAGTGAATTATTCTCCACTTATATTTGACTAGCGTGCTTTTCATTCATTCAAAGTTCTAACCATGGTCTGTTTCTCATTACCTTTCATGTGGCTGAGTGGTCTTGCTTAGTGATCAGTTTTAAAGTTTGTTCTTTGAATTGCTCTTTTAAATTTGAGTAAAGTTATACAGGGCGATAAATTAATTAGCGAACTAGACTATGGGTAGGTCTTCCCTCCACTTCCATTGGCTTGGGACGTTAGAGAGGAAGGGAACTTTATTTTAGGTGGTCACGATGTGTCGTTGATTTAGAAGGCGTACCATTCTGGTCATAGAGGAGTATTAAATTCGTCCTAACTTTCAGTTAGAAGCAACTGAAAAGGGTGATTTTTCCATCGAAAGGCAGTAATTAGCACGAGCGCCACAGCACGTTTGTGTTTATCGTGTGGGCGCGCAGTGCGTAGCTCCTTGCGCTTCTCTTTTCATTGGTTGGCAATGCAGAATGTACAGTAGCGTCTCTAGGTCAATCTGCCTGCGTGGACGATTGGAATTGGGCGCGTAGCCCACGCGCTTCTCGGCATGCTTTGAGCGTGTGTTTCTGATGGCATTGTAGTTGTAGCACCAGGTGCCACGTTACACATTTCCTCATTCACACTCACATAGTGAGGTGGGTAACTTGGTTGCCTTTTTGCAAGGTTTGGGGCTCTTTATTTAGCGAGTGATTTCGGTAGCTGGGACTGTATTGGCCTTGGACAGCACCCCGATCACCAGATTTCGTTATGGTGTTTTAATTTGTTATACATGAAAAATAAACTTACTGTCTTATCTATGTCACTTCAGGATTCTCTCTTGGTTGTTAGATTTCACTTGTCGACAAGTGGAGTTTGCGGTTTCACGTCTTGTGCCACCCTACCATATGCCAGATTAGGGACGGGCTTGGTAAACTAAATCTCTTTTAATTGAGTCAATTTCTATTCACAGTCAATACTTGAGAGATGTTGCCGACGGAGTCGTTTTCGAGCCCTTTGGGACTTCCGTTTTCGAAGTTTTCATGCTGTAGCTTGGCTGGCCAAGTGAAGTGGCGTCATTGTGGTAGCGCAGAAGAGTCTCAACCTTTATTGTATGCTACCAGTTACCTTTTGGCCTTAAGGAAGGCTGGAGATTCAACACTTAAGGAAAATTAAATTCAGTCTTGAATTCCGACTAGTTTGTTTTGAGTCTGATGAATTTATTGTTTTGTTCTAGTGTGGGCGTATGGTAGCTGTGTAAATACTTGAAGTGAGTTGCCTGCTAAAGTGCGTGTGCGTGGTGAGACAGTTTATCACGAGTTTACCAAAACTTCTGCCTCTAAATTTGTTATGGGGTTGTCGCTTCTGTTGTTAATGCGTTTTGAGAGGATTAGCTATGAGCATCTAGGTCAGGGCGAGGCATGAAATGTGGAATGAATGCTTCATACCTAGGAATGGAATCATTCATCACTTCTACGCGACATGACGTCTAAAATGTCTTGTGAGGGTGTAGACCTTCACTGTGCTCACGGAGTGGGCGCGTGATGGCTACGTAACAGCAGCTGGCCTTGTCCAGGTCAAAATATGACAATGTGACCATGGCGGCACTCATATGTGGCTCTTTTCATATATTATTTGCTTAGATCAAATCAATCCAAAATTGGTTGAGTAAAGAAGACTTCGCTGCTACGTATTTCATCACGCATCCATTGTTTTAGCCTTGGCTTTTTAACAACGCTCTGCATTGGACGTCCGCGGGTGCGATTACAGCGAATAACCTTAAAAGTGCAGGTCAGACGCTTCCAAAGCGTCAGTTTAGCTAACTATTGGACGATATAACTTTCGCACGTGACAGTGAAGCCCGTTTATGGAACGAGTAAGGTCTTGTGACTACGCTAACTTCTCATCATTTGACTGCAATCTCGATTGTGTACTGGGAAATCTGAAAAGGACTTTATTCACCACGATGGATTAAGTTGAATGCTTTTTCCCCCCGACGCATAAAAACAAGTGTTAAAGATCAAGTGAGATTCGAGACTTAATTTGAGGTCTCAGTGAGGGGTTGCGTATCTGGCACATTCATTGAAGGCTGCTTCACCCCCAACAATTTATCCTTTTGAAGTGCAAAAGGAAATTAAGGTCAAATACGTGGTTTCTCAAAGTAGTTGCCCCAACGATGCTTGTGTCGAATGGCCTAAAGCTTTGTCTTCGCAGTTTACAGCAAATAAACACGGTTTGAGTCCACTTCTACACCCATCTCACTCTTTCTAGCTGCCACTGCGCATTTAGATGCGCCTTCTTGCAGCCCATGACAGTGGGCCTTGCAGAGCACACCACTCCCATATTTTATTGTTCATAATTCAACTTCAAATGAAACTTCCTCACAATTTGTAGCCTTGAAGAGGAGCAACTTTCTTTTTTACCTCTTATTTTACTGGTAGGATTGTGGGAAGGGAATTTGCCAACTGACAGGCGTGGCGAGGAAGCCATAACGTGAAGCGTGGTATGTGGTCGGTGCGTGAGGTGTGATTTGCGTCGATCAAATGCATTAACACCGCCAAAATCACCCTTAACTGTGAATTTATAGCTAAATTTAGCAGAAAGAAACTGAATGAATAGGTTTAAAGGCTCCGTTAAAAAGTTTTATCCTTGAATAGAGGATACAGGAACATGTAATACAGGAGGACGTGGCGCATGACCAGCGACTTCCATTTCGTACTCACGCAGACAAAATTTCGAATGACCTCAAGGCCATGATGCGAGGTGTGAGTGTGGTAGCATTGCCATGGTTATATTGGGTTGAAGGTGCATCTCTCATGCATGTGGACAAGTGTAGATGCGACGCAATCGCCCCACCACCACCCTCCCTTCAGTAGGAGTTGGCACCAAGCCAGACGAATGCGCAGACGTGCACACACACAAGACCTGTCGCAAATGCACATTGCACGTGGATTTGTGCGTGTGTGTGCGTGTATATGTATTTCATTTAGACCTTAAAACTGTACTATCAACTGTGCAGAAGAGATGTACATTGTAAGCACTACTATAGCACCTGCATCCACTTTTTCTTATTGTACTATCTAGTCGCACCCCGAACATTGGTGTCATGGATTGGCAGAAGGTGTGACACCAACACCAAACGTTGATGTCATTGGTGGATGAATGAGTGATTTCAGATGGCTTGATTGTTTCCTTCATTTTTGCCCTCCTACTCACTTCATTCCAAGTTGGGTCATTTAAAACACGAATACATGGCCACATTTTAGCCCAAAGGCTGACAAATTTCAAAACTCAGGAGTCCCCAACCGACGGGAAGTAGTGGGCTATTTTGGAGCACCTAATTGGCCTTGCGTGAAGCATCCTTTGACATCGCAGTCCAAACAATGTTTTGCATTGATTCAACTTCCAAAATGGTCGCACAGTACCAGTCATAAGACCTTCAAAGAGGCTCTGAAGTAGGCAAAGTTAATATTTAGCCCTCTATAAATAGACTAACTGTAGTTCCAGTAGGACCAGGATATCGCAATTAAGCCAATACTAATTCTGATATTCAAAGTACAGTAATCACGTAGGTGGTTCTTGACTTTTTTACGACATTTAATTATTGCAGCATTCCATTATTAGGGTACTGCAGCCCCTCGCGTCTTTCTTGAAGGCGAAAGAAGTCATCTTGATGGGGCAGAATGCGCATTGGAGGGGTAGGGAGAGAGAGGCGGGCGGAGAGGGGGAGAAGAGAAAGGCGGGACACTACTGGTTTGCCTCGAAAATGCCCACGAGACCAAAACCTGGGAGTTAAATTATCGAAGGATTACATTGGGTCTTAAGGAAATCACAAACCTTTGTGAACATGAATTTTTTCACTCCAACAATCGACAGTTCAAACAAAATCGACATTCACAGGTTTAGCCGCCAGGACTTTCATTATCGATGGTAAATTTTATTGTGCGCCATCCATTGAATAGGTCGAATCTTGCGTCACGTTGTCATGTCAGGAACTAGTAAATTGTGAAAATCAGTTGTCCATTTTTAGTAATGTGGAAATTACTATGCCAGGTTCATTCTTCCCTTGCCACCTGGAGGACAAACAAATGAACAGACTTTGCCTCAAAGACGATAATAGCGCAGCTCGGTGGGGCAAACGCGTGGTAAAGGCAGACTCACTCTGGTAGATTTGCAGTGATGCTAAGACCATACACTTTGAAAAGTTAAAAGTGAGTAATGAAATTAGAAGTAAAACCTCGCCAAAATGTTGCTACGGTGAATTTAAGGCTTCTGGTCTGGCTGAGCAGCACGATCTCTGAGCCGTGCCTGAGAATTGCAACCGCATTTGGCTTTGAGAGAGATCTACGGTCTTGGGCCTTAGTCACTGCTCATTTTTGCAAATTGTCAGTGATTAAGCGTATATCGCATCTTCATTGATAGCCTTAGAATTGATAATTATCCACATCAAGATGCCAATTCCCAAAAAAAGCGTAAAATATGGAAATCAGGCATGGCATGTCGCACCACGAGAATTTAAACCGAGTGTCTTTGTGATTTTTAAATTACCAGAAGCAATTAACTTTTTATGAGTTGAATTTAGATTAAATCGCCCTATCACATTTAAGAGAATAGCCTCAAAATTAACGACGCTTTCGACGACTGAGAAATGCGCAATATTGACATCGATAGCGACAATAATGGCTGGATTTGGGCACCGCAGCGGCAAGTACCACCAAATGGTTTAATAACACTGAACATTTACAGGCACATGTTAAAAAGGGACGATTAATGCTGATTAATTGTAGTGACGAAGAATGCCGAAGCAAATGGGTGGAGCTTTAAGCTTCTGAGATACCAACTCGATGATGTGAGCAAATCACAGTTTAGTTGACAGATTTACTCGCGTGAGTACTGCGAAGAACGCACGTTTTGTGAGTAGTTTCCACTGAGTTTGAGTTGATGTGAGTGACTTTTTGCCAAAGACGGAAACCTTTCATCGGTTAAGTTGATGCTACTTCATTATAACAACTGTCGTTAAATTATGGTATTTGCCATCCCGTAGATTTGCGATATTGCGTCGTGGGTTGTTTAATTCTCGGAGGTAATAGTGAGGCGGATGGTTAAGACTCTGCAATGGCACTTCCGTCGCGTGACTTCGCCTCTCAGCCACACAGGCAGACCTTTGCCAATACGCTCTAGATGCTAAAAGTATCAAATTCACTAAAGTACAATCGATGCGAAATAAAGCAATGCAAATCTGCTTTTGGCAGAAGACTTCGTCGGAAGAGTTTATTTCAGGACCACAATGAGATTTTTCACCTATTTAATCCTTTGTCTAACAATGAACAAATAAAACTATACATTTTATAGAAACAATGGGTAGGGAAGATTGTTATAAAATGTTGCAAAAGTTTGCACATAACACCTGCATGTTTAGTTGTTGACGCTACTTGCTATTCGAAACTACTCGTATTCGCTAAGACTACCTTCACCCAAGATACATTTTACTCATTCGTCATAGAAAACTTGATACAACGCACGATTCGCAGTGTACAATAGCACAAACTGGAGCAAATAGCACTCATTTTTATCGCACTAAGTAATTAAATTGAGCTTATGCAATATTGTTCTGGAATGTTAAATATATTGAAATGCCTACTTATATTTTATTAGTAAAAAGTGTAATCAACTTGCATTCCAAAAAATTCAGTTTATTGATAATGATTTGAGGTACCTTTCGAAGTCAGACAATAAATTTTTAAGTGTGAACTAGTGAATTGCGTCCTTGTGGATAAACATTTCTGGCTGATGTTAGCTCAGTCATTAATTCAATGGCAAAGTTTGAAGCTCAGGTCAATGAAAGCGCGGGGATTCCCGTGTTGTCGAATAAAGTCGCCGGCTGAGATGCAAACAACCTTTTACACTGCAATTCGGCTTGACCTTTTCTTAAACGCCACAACCTAACATCAGTTAACGGTCCTTTTGGCGGAGTTTAAAGTTGCCGGTTTGGTGGAATCATTTGCGATAAAATTTTTCACTTTAAGTGCATGTTGTAAACAATTATTTTTCTCCTGATCAGTTTTTACCTAGCCGAACCCATTTTTCTGCCGGATCAAACTTATTCTCATTCAAGAGCTTTAGAAACATATTCCTAGTCAGGGATAAGAAGTAAATTAATACAGGTTCCTGGATGTGGAATGAAAGCTAGCTCTACATTGCGTTAAAAACGGAGCATTAGGTTGGCCTTAAGACTTGGCGGCTTGGAAGGTCTGATGACAGTGGAATAAAGCAGATGCCATAAGCGGTACTTTTATTTTCGTGGGCATTCACGTGCTACTCATAAACATTTTGAAAAATTAACTGAGAGGAAAAGACAGGATTATATTCGCAACTGTTACATCCACTAGACACGATGTGTTGTGCTATCGCACTGCTTCATAAAGCCAAGAGCAGCTTATCGGTGCTCGGCTGCTTTGAACACCATGAAGGACATTCCATCCACCGAGAAGAAAGCAAAGTTGTCCTTTACATAAGCGATTTCACTGTGCAAAAGAAAGAAATAAATAAAGAGGCAATATAAAAGTGCCTGACCAGTCAACCGTCTGAGTCATTGAGCACATGAACGCTTCTGTGAATACACACTGTGTGTTTGCATAAGGCTATCCTGTGCCTTTATGCAAATAACCACACTGTGACTCCCTAATTAATGCACAACAATGAATCCGTGCACCATGAGTATGTCAATCTTAGTTGGAAATTTTCTGCGCAAACAATAACTCCACCTATTTATCAATTCGAGATGAATAAATGCATAAACAGTGGCAAGATCAAGAGTTAAAAGTAGGTGATAGACATTTAGACTTCAATTATGCTGATGCATGCTATCACATCCGTAATGATGATAAAATCTGAATTTTAAATAGACTGCTCCAGTTTTGAATTAAGAAAAGTCTACTCTGCATAAGAGTAAGGATGGATCATGATGTAGGCAGGCTCTAGGCTGATCCTTTCCCCGATCTTTCTTGTAGAAGCAAATATGCATTGAAGGATTAAGTAGTACCATCACGAATTGACTAGGATGTAAAACTAGTGCCTACCTGCCAAATCTTTGGCCGCAAACACAACTCCAAGTGCCAGGATACTGTTTCTCCAGTTGTTTTCGCACGAATGAGGCCAATGTCTGCTCCTTATTGGTTTGATTACCGTAGCTGCTTTGCTCATTAAGCGCTTGACGGGCAGCTCTCTGGCAAGCACTGAGCATTTCATCGGTCATGTCTTGTTTGAAGACTTCATCCTTCATCATTTTAGTGTTCATCATCTTGTGTTCTTGTTCACTCGACCTCAGAAGTGGTTGTGCTCTCTGTCTTCCTTTTGACGCCTGCGTTGGCTTAAATGAGACCTCCAGCGCGTGTGCTGAGGTGCCTTCAAACGCTAGCACTCTATTGGCAGGCACCGATTTATGCATGTGCATTTGTGTGCGTTTGTGGCTACTCTGGGTGCCAGAGCGCTGCTGTTACGGAGACCCATTGCAGTAAGGCGAAATAAAAGGTCTTTCTTGCTGCGAATTTTAAGCAAATGAATGAGAGAAGAAGAAAGGTCATGCGAATACGCATGCAAAATCTAGCCCATTTTCAAGACGATAAAAAATTTTGCTTTGAGTCAACAATGGAAACTGAATTTTAAATCAAGTTGCTCGGCGACCCATAAATAGTTTACAGTTAGTTACTTTACAAAGCCAACTAAAACCAGAAGTACGTAGGGAGTCAATTGAAAGAACTTTTCGTATGCTACTCCTTTGCGGAACCCACTCGATGCGGTCAAATTGCAGGAAATATAATCTTAAGTGTTATGAAGTTCCTCGAATGGTTCATGCACTCAGAAGTGCTAAAGTGATAGTCTCATAGTTACAGTTTGCTATTATGTGAACGAAAACGCAATAGGTTTGTTAAACTAAAGGGCGATTTATCGTATATAGCAGAATCATATCCTACTTAAATTCGATTTCAGTAGCAGACATTACCCACAAAAACAGCCTTTTGTTAAAAACTTCCAAGGCCTTTTATTGCATGACAGTACTTTAAAAGTAGTTAGAAAACTAGTAGGGCCTCAAGTCAGAGTGTTGTTTAAGTCGCAATGCAATTTAGTGAGTAAGTAACCCATGTTAAAATTTGAATAGCTAAATAGACGTCAAAGTTGTCTCCTAATATGGTGACAAGATTTGCATGTTGGTGTATGCATGCCAAGCTCATTGATCTTGTTGATGTCGCATATCACACAAGTAATTCACATTGCATTTAACTAAACCTCACCATACGATTACATTCTTTTAATCACGGCATTGTGTTTGAGTGCCTAGGTGGAAGCCGCTAAGAGCATGCTTAGCAATGCTGCACAAAACACTGAACACTGCTATACAAGTATCAACTTTACTGCCCTAAACTTAGTCCGTCTGCTTTATCTCATAATGCTGAGCTAAAATGCACTCTCTCTTCTGCCAAAACAGCCACTACAATTAGTAGGCCAGAAATATTATTGCATGAGGAAAGCAGTCATCGCTGAGAAAAGCGTAAAAAAAGGTATTCGATTTTGCTCCACATGCATAAATGTAATTGCACGACAGGGCGAATAGTGCTATCGCGAGATTCACACAGGCCCTTATTCACTCGGATTTCAATCCGTTTTAGATGCACAAGCAATGGCGTATGCAGAACTCGACTATCGAATTTCCCGTGGCTTCCATTTCAAGATTTGTGGACTGGCAAAATCGCGGCTGCAAGAAAGGAAAGTATCAGTACTGCAGTTGATTTTTTTCTTTTAATGATTTATTTTCTTGCTGATAATGACCACTTAGACTTAATCATGCAAAAAATGTAGGACAGAAGGCGAAGAAGAGAGAGAAGGAGAGGCCAAGGTTGATATTTGTACTCACTTTATTCAAAAGGCATCTCTGAGAGTTTCTTATATTTGCGCCCTGTTCAAAGCTGACTTATCTCCTCATTTATAAGTAAGCGCATTGCATGGGAATAGGATATTTTAGACATGATTCATATAAATGCTTTTTAATGCAATTTGGTGAAAATGGTAGCTAGTTTGACTTGGACATTCAAGTCTTTGCAGATTTTGTCACCACATGGCTGTATGACCTGCAACCCATGTCAACAGCCTCTTAGTCCTTCCGATTGCAAGTAATGGGTCCCACATTCTTTAGCGATGAGAAGAAGCTCAGGGTTCTGCGTCTGATAGACGCTTCGGTAAACTTACTCTTCCCAGCAAAGGAAGGTTAAATGACTGACGTGATTATGTCGCAGTTCGATGCATGAAAATGAGCAAAACGTTTAGAGAGACACTTAACTGCCATGCTAGAAACTCAGAACCTTCATCGTCTTTTGAATTGACTTCTCAAGCTCACATTAGCATTGGCGACGGATGATTAATTGCAAGGAGTCAGTGACTGATAGAATGTTTTGGGCTCTTATTACCTCCAATTATGAAAGTACATTGAGCTAGTGGAAAGAGAAACTGCAAACGGGGTCTAGGACTCATGCTTTCCGGCTTAGAAACAAGCACAGGGACGGTGGAGTCTACCAACACCACAAAACACAAACACACACACACACTTATGTATACCTTTGGCATTGCCAGCTCTAAAGCTCACATTTTCAATTCTTAGCTTTATTACACCATAGACACATCCTTTTGAGTCATCAGAGAACAGGCAGTGAGTGCCAAAGTGTGCAGTTACGAAGACGCGTGTAGGTCACCGTCACATTGATTCCACTGTCACAACGCAGTCTGAGCCCGTGCTGATTTAAGTGCTCAAGCGGGCACACACACACACATACATGCAAAAACTGGGGAGTTGCGGTTCCGTCCGAGTCCATCAACTAGACGGTAACGTAGATTAGCCAATCACAGGCCTCACCTCAGTGTGAATTTCTGCGCTGCTAGACGCAGTGTGCGCATTTTCGCAATGCATTTGAGCCATCTTTACAACACTAATGAACGCTCCGTTCCGCTTTGATCCTTTATGGGTGCTACTTCATCAACACGTTACTCTTTGATTTAAATTAATTCTCTCAAGTGGTTGTTGAATGATTAACTCCACTTGGTCGAAGTTATCCTCTTGGCATTTGTCTGCGCGCTTCCTCTAATCACATAGCCAACCAATGTAAAGCAGTGCCTAACACATAACTTGACATTTCTAGTATGGTGGAATATTTTATTTCGGTTATTTATTCGACCGCACAACCACAATTAAGCGCCTGAACTTAAATGAATTTCGGCTACTTTTATGCAAAATGCGTCGGTCTTGAATGGCACAAATGTAGTAGGGAATGTTGCGGCCGCAGTAAACACCGCCAAACCGTCCACTCATCCGTCCACCAATCTGTGTGCCCTTCATTCATAAGCGACGTAACGTTTTTGAAGTGCTCTTAAGAGAGACAAGTGAACTATATGAGTAATGTCAAAAGGTTTAGTTTTTTTTAATAAATTCGCTAAAAATAGTTTACGCCATCTCTGGAAGCTACTATGCGATAATCTAGGGAGACAAGAGCAATTTTACGACTGGAGGAAATAAGTTGACTTCTTGCCAAAAACTGCACGTTTTACAACTCTGAACACACCCATACATTACCCCCTTAAGCCTTCGGATTGTAAAAACCTTTAATTTCTTGGTTGACGCCTTTAGTTGAAGTATGTGCTATCCCTTTCCTTCTTGATTGGCTATTTTCCCCTGTCATTACAGCTGCTACTGCCACGGTCGTGCAACAAACATCATAAGTGCATGAGTCACGAGCCTCATAAACATGCAGCATACTGACATATGCCAAAGGTGATCCCCACTTTTCTGGCTGAGAGTGCAACTACTTATCAGAGAACACTATCCATCCCAGTTGAAACTCCTGCGAATATTATCACGGACCTTGGCCCCCTGCCCGCAATTTAGCTCAACAATCGTAAGAGATGAACTCCTTTCTTAATCAAATAGAAAAGGTAATGAAAGTGGCCTTTCATATAATTAGACATAGAATGTGGTAAATTAGCATTACATCCATTCACACGGGATCACAACACGTTGAAGCATGGCATTAAATGCCTCAAACGTTTGCAGTGCTTTTGGTTACAGGTTTGTTCAAGTGCGTCTGCGGAATCTGTGTGAAAAGGATAGCGAACGCATAAAGTTGCTTGATTACGCTGTTAGGCTAGGCTTGATTTTGGGCACCAAATTACCTAGTGGTGAAAAATTAGGCTCTAACTTGTATGTAACACTTCAAACACCTGCTAAGAAAACTTGTCAATAAAAAGGCTACTCTTCTAAATCGCGAGCTAAGCAGTAATGAAGCTTTTAGGTCTAAAATTAAGCAATTTATCCCTAACGAACAGTTTCACGAAGTAACTCTCAGATAAAGCTTATTATCACTTTAAAATATTGTTTTCAAAACAATGCAAAGAACAAAGCCAATGAATTGTTTCAACTTCAAAATAAACTCCAAATAAACTTTAACAATTTAGTTTTGTCGAGATTCACAAGGGTTTTGGGCGATCTGTACTACGAAATGCTTAGCTTTTCTCCGGATGATCAAATCCGCGCAAGTAAATTTATGCCATGGCCAATGGAAACGGAAATGGATGTAGTCTAAGATCAACTCTTTTTTGAAATGTCGATCAATAAGGTCTCACGTGGCTGAAATGCTGTCTAATGATTTGGTAAGTGAATAACTTTCATCGTTTGTCTATAGTACCTACTCACCTGCTTAGCTTGGCAGCTTGCTTAAAAATGTGTAAGCTTTTTCTCTAGTTTAGTAACATCTCATCAATAGATATTGAAGGAATTATAAGACACTAATGAAAAAAATAAAGAGTACAACTTTAGCCTTAAGCCGTGGGAAGTCTGCTGCCGAATGCCTTCGTTTTTTACTACCCACAAAAGTCCTTAATACGTCAACGTGTTTTCACTATTTCAATTTTTGTTTTATGTGGAAAATTAGCTTAATTAGACCAACTCAAAACATGCGCCATGTTTAAGTGCTGCGCGATAATCCATGTGTACTTTTGTAAGTGGAATTGTGTCTAAAATTCCGATGTCGTATGAAAAAATGAATGGATATGTAAGGCCATATTTATAGAAACTAAAAAAAAAGACAGTGAGTGAGCACAAGTGAGCCTTCTGTTTTAATATTTATAACAGAAAAATTTTCTGAGAAATCAAGCAGACTGCAAGTTCAGTCAAGAAGCAGATCTCTGTAAGTTTCTCTCTTCTTTAACTAATTTGCTACTATTAGTTCGATTTAAGGTGAAGTTATCGAAAGCATTGTTTGTTTTAGAAAACGCATATTTCTTCAATACCATATTGTGACTATTGCATGGTGCTCAAATGCCAAGGTCCACTAAAACTGCTAGTTTAAAAAAGCAAGTTCCTGAGCTTTCATGGCCGAGTAGATTTTTTTGCAGCTGATCAAGATCTAAATGTACGATTTCTCATTTACAATCACATCTGCTAAATTAGTGAGATGGCCGTGTCAGAAAAACCATATTTTGACCCTGTTGTTAATAAAATGCTTGTAATTTGTGTCATAGGTCACCTTCCACTCGATCCATGGAATCCGAGTATTACACAGCCGATTCGTCATCTGACAAAAGTAATTAGTTCGCCATTAGAAAAATTTGCTCTTTATGTCTAACCATTTTTTTCGTACCTCTTAGTATTTGAACAGGATGCTTATCATAGATTTCGTGTAAAGATATGACTTACATAAACACTCAATAGCATTTACTTAATTAGTAGTTCCTTTTCTTATATGCCCATCAAGTCCTTGAAATGAGATAGTGAAAGGTGCCGAAGTTAACGGTGATCCCCATCTAATTTATAGCTGACTTAATTTATACCAATCCGTAACAATTTTTTTACTCTGCAGTGTTCTATTTGTAAGCGCCTGTGACATCCATATTGAGCGCGACAAGTTGAACAAACAAAGTTTTGATCTTCTTAAAAAGATGTCAAAGGGTAACCTGACGCAACTTATTTTAGGCAGGCAGGAGATCCCAGCGCCTGTGGTTCATTCCAGGAAAGTACTTGGGCGACCCAGAGGCAATAATGAAGCCATTCGAAGGAACTGCTCTTCCAAGTTCACCCATGCGCCCACCGTCGTTGCCGAAGTGTGGGTTTTCCATTTAACTAACTCAAGCTTTGAAGTGAACTTAGATCAATCATATCCACTCAAATCAGGAAATTGGTGTCATCGCGCGTAACAAATAGTAATAAGCAAAGAACTTATTAGCCCTAAGGTGCCTTGTATTTGGTAAAACTGGAAGCGTCTTAATGGTAAAAATATGGCTATTGTAGTCTGCTTAAACGACAATGTATAAGGGATTTTACCTTACCTCGAAAGATTAATATGCATCATTATTTGCATAACAGGAGCAAAAATTATTTTTACCTCCAACGAGGTAAAATTATTTTAGTCAGGTTTATCATGCTGTTGCTATTGGCTCTAATGTCCTCTAAACAGCATGATTCAAAGTGAAGCATCGGAATCCCAGTGTAATGCACGTTCAGTGCCATTAAAACTTAATTTGCCGTCCGCTTAGTCTCACCGCCCGAGGAGAAAGACTCACGCATCCGACAAGCAGCCCAGGAAGTGGCAGTGGCGGCAGTGGTAGTACCCCTATCGAAGGTGATGGTGGAGGACACCCTTCCACCCCTTTACGACGACGCAGGGCATTACGATCGATACGCGGGGGTACCACGAAACGTCCGCACTCGATTCTTGCACGAGGACGAATCACTGTTGAGACAAGTGGCACAGGGGCTAGTGAAAAACGCCGTGCGAAGAGCAACATACCGCGTGCGCCGTAGTCGCGCTGTCATCTGTCCTTGGTTGGGAAACACTGTGCCAACATTCGGTCTAGAGCATGTATTCCATTCAAATTGCCGCAATCACACTGCATGAAGTCCTTCCAAAAAATATTATTTTCTTATTTTTTAAAAAACATTTCATTCTGTATTGATGAATTATATGAAAATACGAAGTTATTTTTGGTTCAAAATTTGGATTTCATGTCTACCGCCTCAAAATGCCAAGTTATAGGAATTTAATTATACTGCCACGAATGTCCGGTAGTACACTTCATGACTCTGTGTCCAAGTTCTCCTTGCCACCCAGACCTTGGAATTCCATTTGTGTCTTGAGTACTTTGACTTCGAAAACGCATAGAGTCTTGCATAGCTTAAGCAATTGGATTGAATAGATGAAGAATAGCAATGACAGCAAGAACATACAATACGAAAGCTAAATTTCATCATCTGGTGAGCAAATTGTCTCGCAGAAGTTTAATGGGAGCGTAGAGCTTTTTCGTTTCCTCTTCCTTAAGGCTAGATCAAGTGCGAAGGATTCGTTAGTTTTGGGCATTTCAATTGACATAGAGAATGCAGAGGTGGTATTGAAGTTTGAGGGAGGAGTAATATTAGATTTCCGTCTGTGCTCACAGTAACTAGCCGCTCCTCAACACGAAGTTCCAGTTGTTATACTGAATCTTACCTCAGGAGCGTATTTATGGACCCACAAGTTGTTGATATCCTTCTGCGCCATTGGCGCACTTCACGCGGAACTATCCCTGTAGGTTCCTCGAATAATTGCTTCCTTTTAGGAGCGTAGTTTCTTGTCGCAGACATTCGGTGGCTGGGTACGGAGCTCCGCATTGCGCTAGTCGGTAGACAGAAGGACATCCACAAGACAGAAGTGAATTTGCTTAGCTTTGGCTTGTGTGTAAGCCTTGACTCCGTATGCGAATGAGATGATTTAGAAGCTTAAATTTAAGTCCTCTGGATGAACTTGCCCGGTAAAAGGTTATAGCAATCCGTTGTCTCATTAGTGCCCGGGTGTAGGGAGTTATAGATTAAGAAGAGCTTAAGTAGCTTAGTAAAAAAGTCGACTTTCCTAAATAGGGTCCAGGATGGATCCAGAATCCAACATCCAGACCCCTGTGCGGTGAGATTTTAGACTTAAAGAAGATCAGAGCTATCTTGCCAGCAATCAGTACCTTCATGAAGCACCTCCCTTCGTGCTGAGTTTAATCTCACACTGTCTTTATCTCATCGTTTGCCTTGAAATCCCGTGGGCATGCCATGCCGAGTCTCAAGTGATGCAGGTTAGACGTCTAGAGTGAATGCCGACCTTAGTACCTATCGGTCAAAACCTATACCACGTTTCTTCCACGTGACTTGGTTATGTGCGCAGCTCTTTAAGAACTGGCTGTATCAACTAGTTCAGGCCATCATGGCGCTTAGGCGATAAACCATCTTTCAGGTACCATACAAACTCATCTTTCAAGGACACTTTCGAGTAGTTTTGTGCACCGTTTGGCTGCCTTGCTGATAAGACTCATCTCGTTCGCTTCAGACCTTAAAAGGGTGTCAGTAAACCGTGTAAGGATCAGGATTCTGTAAACTTCTTCATTAGTACTTAGCAGGTTGGCTGGAAAAGAGCCCTCTCATGACAATGTGATCTGCTTCGGATGAGATGGATCTGCACTGTCATATGTACCCATTTTCTTCTGTAATAAGCCATGCACCCATACTGCTGCATTCTTTGGATCACCATGCCAATGATCTCCATCACTTTCCATCAAACAAGTGCATGATAAATTCCTTTGGACTATGGACCGTCACATTATTGGGTAGCGTGTGAAGTGTCTCACCAAAGTGTGGATAAAAAACATTTCACATTCTGTAACCCTATTCTGGCGTAGGCGATGATAAGACCTCTTCCGTCTTTGCTTCATTGTGAAAGTACATCACCAACATCTCTCAATGGCGCCTGCATCCAGAATGGGGAGCAGTGTAATGGTCTCTAAATTTGGTAAGTCTGGGATTGACGTAGAGTAGAGCATTCGCTTTAGACCTCTTGAAGCCTTGGCCTGCTCACCATTCCACTTTCTACAGTGTTGTCCTCTTTTATGCGATTTTTAGGTAGAGCAAGCTGGTGACTCTAACAAATAATTTGACAGAATGCCTGTAGCTGTTTGCCATGCCGAGGAAAATGCGGACATGAAATTGGTTAAGGAGTAGATAGCGGGAGAAAGAAGGCTTAGATGGTCTGCTAAACGACCTTGAGAACAAAGTCATTCGGAACTTCTAGTGTTTGTTAGTCGCAAATTCAGCCGATTGGACAACAGTGTCAATCTTTATAAGGTGAATTTTCTCCTCCGTGATAAAAAGACGATTTGATGCCTCAAACTAACGGATAACTAAGTTTCTCTTGCCAGTTTTATAGTGGCGATGATTTCAAGTCCCTCAAAAGGAACTGCTCTCGTTCATCGATGACAAAAATTGTAATAAGATTTCACGGTATTTGATGATAATGGAGTCTGAAGAAATCGTGACGTTTATCACTAACAACAAATTGTAAAGGTGAGCATGAGGAGTAAGGAGAGTCCTTCGCTGCTAAGGAAAACGTGGAAGTTAGGTGGTACGATTTTGCGCGACCGAAAGTCTTTCTCTACTTCAAAGACAAGACTCAGTCGTGCTACTTGATCAGGTACAGAGATTCGGTTCCTTCAAGACACCTTATTTTAAACAGCGAACACGGAAGAGTGACAGTGGATTAGAAAAAGGGGCAACGTTTGAGCTTAGTTTGTGTCCAAGCAATTTAGTGAATTCGTTAGTCTAACTTCGGAGTTGTGTTCCACCTCTGTCCTAAATAAGCATTTAAAGACCCGTGTTTATTATCTTGACCTACTAAGCCCTAAGATAACCAACACGAAGATTTATGCAGACAATCCTTCTCTTTAGTCATCCTCTTAGTGAAAAATAGGTAAAGTAGTACATGTTCCAAGGACTAATACCCATAAGTCAGTTAGCGGTTCCTCTAGACATGAAATATTATTTCCTATGGGGTTTGTTTACTTCTTCATGTTTTTTTTTAAAGAAGAATGGGACCGTATTAGTAGGGAGAAGTTGTGCCTCGGAGGTGGTGAGTTCTTTGATTAGGGCTGCTACTGCGGTCTGAAGACCGTGTTATCTAGTCAAGGTAAAATAGAAGGGCATTTTGTGCCCATAAAACCAAGGCAAAACGTCGACTGAGAGGAAGGTGAAAGCAAAGTGATAAGCAAATAAGTTTAAGGTCAACCTTAACATAGTAATTGCTATAGATATCTACCCTTAATGGCTCTTCAAAACACACAATTGCAGCGTGCAGACTCATGCTACTATTATAAAAGTAAGTAGCACGTGCCTTGCGGTAAAGAAATAAATGCTATATAAAAGACTCACAAAGTTTACCAAACCTCCATTTATTTGAAGCGGGTAAATGTACATCAGTATTGGTCTAAGAACTGTTCTATGGTGAAACAATGAAAGCCAACAGAACCCCAGTGGGGGGCTAGTAATGAATGTGGACAATTTGGTGCCTTTCATCTACATCGTCTTTCCATTACCTTGAAGACCACCAAAGCGCTTTTACCTACTTAACATATGAGTCAATGGATTAGGAAGCATAACAATTTCCTAAGTTAAACGGACATTGTGGAATATATGGAGTCTTTAAGCTCTTATCGTCAACCACTGCAAGTGCATGGAAGCGTTGCAGTGTTTGGGAAATGTTAAACTGTTAAAGCTGCGATTAAGACGTGTTACAGTGTTGCAGGCTGGAGGAAAAGAAGTTCTGCAGCAAAAGCACACTAGGAGAAAATAGTGTAGTTAAATGTCTTTTGATGGACGTTTTCTTCCGTTTGCAATCGAAGGGGATTGAGGATTTGTTTTCTTTTAGAAAACAAATGTCAGAAGTTTATTTTTCTCCTATTCCGTTGCTAAATTACCCTTTTTTGATGTTGGTTCAAATGTTCTCTACACGTTTAGCGAGAATGAAAGGGGAAAAGGGATATGAAATCCAGTAGCCAGACTTTACATATTGATGTGGATGTTTGTAGGAACTGTAAATACACTCCTGTAACAAGTGTCCTTGTTTTAATCGCTTTTACCTCATTACATCCTTTCCTCTTTCTACTTATGCAGTATAATTTACGTTTGCTGCCCATTTTTTTAGATTTTTACAATCTGTGGAAGAGATACAATTACTTGGGTGTAAGGTCTTGGATAACAGTTTGGATGTTACCCTATCACACAAAATACGATCCACATAAGAAGCATCGACTCCTACAAGAATGGTTTCGCTTCCTTCTTTCAATGGCTTCAGCTGACCTCTCCCAACCACAGAGGGATGTCAGTTGAAATGAATGAGGTGGACTGGGAAGGGGAAGCCTTTGGAACCTGAGGCAATAGGGAGAAATTGAGGGCTAATCAAATGAACAAATAATACGAATCTAGTTTTATATGCTAATGTCAGTGGATGTTCAGTGAAAACCACCTCCTATTTACTACTTTTGCGGCTATTGTTTGTTTTGTGGATTGTAACAGATGAAGCGTCATTAATAATGACGGGAGCAGCAGCACTGGCGACCCCACTGGACAAAGCAATTAACTTGCGTTTAGTTGAGCCCACTGCTCTAGACACTAGTGTCTTTCCGTATTTTTCTTTCTTACAAGCACTGATGAAAACAAAAAAACCTCAGTTCACTCTACAATGTCCAACAACGCCTTATTTGGAACTCAAATAGCTTTGCCTTTTAAAATCTTGCTATGCGTGAATCACAGCAGAAGAAAGATGAAAAGTTCACAGGCGAAGTAGCCAATCTGGTAGTAGTGAGGTGAAGCTAATGGATCCAAGTATTGTGTTACAACAATGCAACTCCAATGGGATGAATAGATGGGAAAAAAGTCAAATGAACTCACTCTTCCACTTGCAAGACAAAGGAATTGATGTTACAACACACTCAGGAATGCATTTTAACGATGTAACTTGTTAAGTATTTCTGTGAAAACTGAAATGACTGCACTTAAAACTAAAAAGCTTTCCTCTTAAATAAAGTGGTGGATTAAGTTGATCAGAGTCAA